GGGAGAATGTGTCCTGAAAGACTTTTCAATAACTTTGTTGTTGGGGTCAATGTCATGTGTTTTAATAAATCAAGAGCAAAAGATGCAGACATGATATTAATACCCACAACTAGATTGTAAAGAGCATCGAAAGGAGCTTTGTTAATTAAACGAATCACATCAGAGGAAAGCTCTGATTCTTCTAACCATTCATTGCTTATAATAGATACTAGCTCCTTCGTAGTCTTTTAAAGGAAAGCTTCCTCAGAAGGATCTAGAGGTTCTTCGTGCAATGATTTTCTAGACTTTTGGGGTCTCCTCATGGTATTGTAATTCGAGGTATTTCCATATTCATCAAAAATTTCATCCTCGAATTCAAGCATAAAATCCAAAATTGGAGTTTCCTCCTTTTCTAGTGGTTCATGATTTGGGATAGCTAAAGTTGGTGACGGGTCTGGTAAAGATTTGGGTTCAACTATCTAGGATTCATCCTCTAATGGCTTCTCTTCTAGTTCTTTGGGAATGTTCTCTAAGATTTTCGTAAGAATGCTTCTCCTCACATTGGCGGAGACATGCAAGAACGAGCCTCCTGAGGCCGTATTAAGAAGCTTCGAGGTTTTTCTATCAAGACCCATATAAAAGTGTTGAAAAAGAATAGGGTCTTGAATGGCAAGGTCAGGACCAGTATTAATAAGAGTATTAAAGCGTTCCCATGCCGTGCCTAGAGATTCTTTTTTCTTTTGTTTAAAAGATAGAACCTCTGAACGAAATTCGACTACCCTAGAGATGGGAAAGAATTATAAGCAAAAGCTAGAGCACAGTGCTTTCCAATCTCCTTGTCTACCCCCTATGGTGAGATTGTACCAACGTTTAGCTTTTCTCATCAAAGAGAAGGAAAAAAACTTCCATCGTAAGGTTTCATCTGACATGCCCACAGTGCGCAAGCATGCACAGGTTTGCTCAAACTCATTTAGGTAGGAGTAGGGGTTTTCATCATCTTTGTCTGAAAAGGGTTGATCCTAAACCATGCTAATTAAATGTGGGTGCAACTCATAGCCAGGTGTTAGGATAGGCTTTGAAGACTCTTTTGGCTATAGGCTTCGCTTGTGGGTGCACCATATTGGTAGATAGAGGTGGATTCTAGATCCATGGTAAAAAGAAAAAGAGTAAAAGAATAATGATACAAGGATAATCTAGGTTCAAAGTTAACTCAACAACCGTTTCCCCAGCAACGGTGCCAGAAATGCTTGTTAGTATAATTAATGCACATAGAATAATCCACAAGCGCACATATATTATACCGATGTAGCACTTCACCGGGAGTACCCAGTTTTATATCGAACTCGAGGAAACGTGTGTGAGAATAACCAAATCTAACTTATCCCAACTTCACAATCAAAGCTAGATAATAGGAGCGTAGAGGAGAATGCTAAGGTCTTCTAGTTCTAACTTCGGTAAGCTTTGTCTTCTATTATTCAATTCTGGGGATATTACTAGAGAAAACACAGACAGAGTATGTTTCCTATAGCAACAATGTCTTGCTAAGCCTACTAACGGGAGGTGGACTATAAAGGATTCAACGAGGCTATAAGAGTCACCCTCGCGAGCTACCACCGATCCAGAAAATAGGGTACATTCACGAGTAACCGAGTCTAAGCACCATGCTTACACTACGAAATACAACTTTAACACGTGTTAGAGACACGTGTCCCGCTTCGATGATTCGCATTCTGGAGTCTTCTAGAGTCTTCCCACGTCGATTACGCGGTGGAATTCTATGATTTCTTTTGACGAATAGGTCCTCCTTGGCGGTTTTCTGATTTAATCCTGCTGAAAATATAGATTCACCAAAACTCATGGAATTTGTCAGTTTAAACCCCTAAGTCTACATTGGTGATCCATTTTAGCCATTTATACAAGTAATATTGATGGTTTATCAACACATGTGTAATGACTTGTGAGACATGTTGACTTATCGTTTTATTTATATATCATGTCTCTGTGTGTTGCTTGTTTACTATGCTTTTGCCTTACTCCGATGTTAAACGAGCTTTACTTTCTTGTACTCGCGTTTATTTCATATGTACATGTTGTGGACTTGGTATGCATGAACTTGTTCTAACCCCTTTGCTCTTATTGCCACAAGTTCATGCAAACCAAGCAGTTGAAAACCTCAAATCTCTCTTTTACACATACTCGAGGTTGTGTTATCATCAATCACCAAAAATGAGGAGATTGTAAGCATCTAGGCCCCTAGTTGGGTTTCGGTGATTAATGACTATACAAGATTACCATGACTAACGTGTGTTTTGTAGAGGCATTATAAGTTAGGTCATGGTAATGGTGATTGATTGGGCACTTATGGTATTCATGCCCGTGACGATGGAATTTGTTTCGGTTTTCAAAAGATAGACGACAAGGTTAAGGACGGACTAGTTCTAAGTGTCGTTTGTCGTTGAGAGACACTTGGATTAGCTTTAGGACTTTGTTTTTCTTTTCACCGTACTATAAAGGGGGCATGAATGGGTAGCATGACCTAGGCGAGTTTAGTGAGAACAATGTGGTGCACATTTGTCTAATCTAGCACTAGGTAGCTCAAAGGAAGCCCAAGTTCATCGAAAGTCAAAAACCGTTTCAAATCGGGAATTGAAACAGAGCGCATCTCTACTGGTGGCTGCGGACAGGGCGATGTGCATCGTCCTGGTCACCGCCATCAGGGTGGCGGTGCAACGGCCCCTTTTATCCAGAGATTGGGTACTCTGGGGTGGTCACCAGACAGGGCAACTTCCCTAGGGTGGTGGTGACACTACCACTATTTTTAGAGAGAAACCCCAGGCCTTGGCGGCACCGGACAGGGCACCGCCCCTAGGATGGCGGTGTCACCGCCATTTATTCTAGAGAGGAGGAAAACTAAGGCTTGGTCACCACCCTGGGGTGGTGGTGCCAGCCTAGTAACGACTACTTGAAAAATAGCCATTGGGGTGGCACCGGACAGGGGTGGCGGTGTGCCACCTTGCTATCCGGTGACCCCGAAAAAGCTGAGTGGGGGGCCAACGGCTAGTTCCATCCCTTGGGGCTATTTATACCCCTCCATCTCGTGTATTGAGGTTCTCTTGCCCATTTGTTCAGCTGAGGAAACCATTTGATGTGCAAGGGAGAGCAAGAGCGTAGTGGGGTTGTTGAGATTTACTAATCTAAGATTAAGGACCTCATTAGTGTATAGAGAGTAGCAAGTATGCATCTACTCTTCTTATTAGGCTTGGTTGGGTCAAGTGAGAGTTCGTGCTTGTTACTCTTGGTGATCGCCATCACCTAGACGGCTCGGTGGTGATTAGAAGCTTGATGATCATATGACGGAGCTTATGGATGACTCAAGTCATGGTGTGAGCGGCTGTGGGCGATTCACCGGGACGGAGTGTCGAAGAATCAGCCCCGTAGAGAGCACTTGATCCTTGCGCGGATCCAGGGGGAGCTATACCCTTGCGTGGGTGCTCCAACGAGGACTAGTGGGGAGTAGCGACTCTCCGATAGCTCGAAAAAACATCGCCGCGTTCCTGCCCCCTTTTTACTTTGAACATTTACATTTGAGCAATTCAATTCATGTTTTTACATTCTTAGAATTATCATACTAGAGTAGAATTGGAATTTAGGGTGCAAAACTTTTGTGCGATAGAACAGTAGAAACACTTTGAGGCAAAAGTGGATGAAATGGGCTAAGTGTAGGGCTTAATTATTGAAAAAATTTAGAATTAGCCTTATTCACCACCTCTTAGACATCTTGATCCTTGCAACTTGCTCAGGGTGCGCGTCCACACCGGAAATTGCCGGCGCGGCGGGATCCAGCCCGGATGAGGCGGATCCGTCCCGCCGCTTGCCTTCATCCTACCCGCCCTTACCCATTGGGTCGCCAACTCTCTAGATTCGTACGGAGAGGAGACGTCCCTACTGTCTCGAGCCACCGAGGCTGCGAGATCGCTTGGAACAGAGGGAAGGGGCGAAGGAGGCGGCGGCTCGGAGACTGGGTGAGGTGGCGAAGAACGGAAGGGAGAAGAAAGGCAACGGCGGTGAAAACATAGGAGGTAACGGAAGCGCCCACCGAACGACCGAGCGAGCTGGGCTCTGGAGAGACGAACGGGAAGGACGTCTCCCCAGGGCGTGGCTCCGGGCTACTTTAAACAGCGTACTGACCATGCCAACACGTCCAGTCCATGGGCCTGCATACAAACACGCCCTTAGACCTTCCGCAGTGTGAAGTAGAGCCAGAAAAATAAGTGGGTCCGACTGTAGGAAAACAAGCATCGTTTCTCATAGCTGCAGTGTATAAAAGAGTTAGCACCGATGCTATATTCTATCATGCGACGGTACAGATGCTGCCTATTGGCTTTCATCTAGACACCAACATATGCTCTCCTCTCACAGAACACAAGAAATATTGTTTTTAAGTCCCCAGGCAGCACTGCTTCTACTTGCTCTCGCTCTAGAATCTTTGAAAGTTGATATTGGTAGCTGTAAGGTAGAGAGTGATGTCCGAAAAAAAGAGAGAAGGTTTGTGCATCACTTTAGGAGAACATTGAGGAGGGCCTTACATTCTCAACCCGGGCGTGCCTCCCCCGAGCCGACCGTCCGCACCACATCGCACAGCCACTCGGGCGTGAGCGGCGGCCGGTCTGGTTCGTCTTCCCGGCTGCTGTCTGTCGGTCTGTTTGTGGCCGCTGCTCCTTCCTATCCGCAGCCACGCGCGCGGTCGCCTCCACGCCCACCCTCCACGCCCACCGCCCGAAGCAGCGTAGCGCACTGCGCACGTCTCTTTCCTCGCGCTAGCCAAGCGGCTCTGCCTCCTTGCAAGTTGCTACTGCTACCCTCTTCTAGCCTACTACAGTACTACCGACGAGACGTCGACGGCGACTTGGTCCAACCCTGCCCACCCCTTCAATTCCCACCAAAAACTAACCGCCTGCCCTTTCAGGGGAGCGGACCCGGCCGACGAGCCACGCCGACGCTAGGGTTTGGTTTCGCCGGCCATGGACCTGCCCCCGGGCGCCGCCCGCCGCACCACCTACTCCCTCCTCCCCCAGTTCCCTGACGACGCCGCCGCGCCCGCGCCCGCCCCCGCCAACGTCCTGCAGCGCCAGTCCAGCGGCAGCAGCTACGGCGCTGGCAGCTCTATCTCCACCTCTAGCGACTACCCATTCCACCTGCAGCCCCCCGCCTCGCCCGCGGGGGTCGCGCCGCCCGGATCGGCAGCGGCGCCGCCCGGGGCGGCTGGCTCGCCCTGCAAGAGCTGGGCGCAGCAGGCCGAGGAGACCTACCAGCTGCAGCTCGCGCTCGCGCTCCGCCTCTGCGCCGACGCTGCATGCGCCGCCGACCCGGGCTTCCTCGACCCAGGCGATTCAGGAAGCGGGAGGGGCAGCGGTAACGGGAGGGCCTTCCCGCTCGCGCAGCCCGCGCCCTCTGCGGAGTCGCTCTCGCATCGCTTCTGGGTCAGCACTCTCAGCATACCTTCCCTTCCTCTATGCTCTCTTAGTGTCATTTCGGGAAACGGCTGCTGGCGATTTATGAAGTCCAGATTTCAGAATGCTGCAACATGGTCACAAACAGTGCTGAACAAACCATTAATTAATCTGTAAACAAAAGCCTTAGGTTCAGTTGCTTGACTTGGTACTTGGTAGATCATACTGCAGTTCATGCTTACCACATCTTATGTTTGGATTGCAGCTGAACTCATGTGAAATGAAATCATACAGTATGTCAGTGCATCAAACACCACCAAAGATACATTTATATATGTGCAATTGGAATTCTATTTACTGCCTATCGAGACAAATCTTATTGTTGTATTGGTGTTCTTTGCAGCTTGTCTTGGATTTCTTTTTCATGCTTGCTTCCTAATGCCTTTTCAGGTAAATGGTTCGCTATCATACAACAGCACAATACCAGATGGATTTTACTTGATTCATGGGATGGACCCCTTCGTATGGTCACTATGCACTGATGTACAGGAAGAGAACCGCATACCCTCCATGGAATCGCTCAAGTCTGTCCGTCCTGATGATTCTTCCATTCAAGCCATTCTTATCGATCGAAGAACTGATTTTGAATTAGGTATGTTGGAGAGTTATGCTTCCAGCATCCTTTCCAGTTCTGCTGATGCCAAAGATGTGGTAATCCAACTGGCCAAACTCATATCTTCAAGAATGGGGTGAGGGTTGTATCAATAAGCTCCTATACTCCTTTTGATTGGGTCTGATTCATGTGGTTTCTGAAACTTCTTTTTATATATAATATATAATTTTTTGTTTGTCGTCAAGGGGTACAACTTCCAATGAAGAAAACTTGCTTCAACGATGGAAAGAGTGCATTGAGGCCATCAAGTCAAGTACAGGATCTGTTGTGCTTCATCTTGGAAAGCTCCCTATTGGTCTCTGCAAGCACCGCTCCTTGCTATTTAAAGTATGTTTTCTGTTTTAAGTTGCTTTCCTGATTGTTCATCTTGTGGAAGTACGTTAATACAGTGACAACTACAACCAAAATGTTAGTAAAGAGTTCTATCTGAGCGCTGTCACATGTATGCTTGTGACTGTAACTATATTTTATTTTAGAAATTAATAACTTAGTTACCATTTAAGTTATTCTTTTTTTGCAACCTTGGATCTTTACTGACGTTACACTTATACTTTATATGCTGCAGGTATTAGCAGATAAAGTCAGTATTCCTTGTAGAGTTGTCAAGGGATGTAAATATTGTAAATCTGATGATGCCTCCTCCTGCCTTGTACGCTTTGGGCTTGAAAGGTATTTTGCCTCCGAAGATCTCGGAGTAGAACCCTTTAATGCATGAATCTTGAACCAGTTTGCAGATATTACTGCTTCTCCATTAATCGTTGTTTTGATAACTTATGGGCAAGGATGACTCATTCTCATGTGCATCTGGAATATTTGTCTTATCTACCTGTTATTTTGATAACATTGATTGGTTGACTTAATTTGCCTTGTGTTTTGTACTCAACTCTTGTTAACTTCACTTGGCAGGGAATTCTTGGTTGATTTAATTGGGGATCGAGGCCCACTTACTGATCCTGATTCCTTTGTCAATGGTCCCTACTCACTATCAGTATCCTCACCTCTCCATCCCCCAAAATTTAGGTCATTGGAGATAACTTCAAATTTTGGCTCGGTAGCCAAGCAATACTTCTCAGATTGCCATTCCTTGAATCTCTTGTTCAATGATTCTTCCACAGGTTGTTAGTTTCTGAATGTCTTAACTTGTTTCCTCATGTGTCAACAGGGCATCATTACTTATATTGGTGTTTGTCTATTAAGCAGTTGCTATAGGCTAAGGATGGATTCTTCATCAAGGATGTTTTTATCTGTCAGGAGTGACATAGACTGTACCATACATTTTTTTCAGGTGTTGCTAATGGCACTGTAGTTTCTCTGGACCATCCTTATTCTAAGAAGCATGTTGCTGGGGATGATGTTATGAACAGCTGGGTGCCAGGAAAAGGTAAATCATGCTAATGCTAGGCTTTGGAAATATACCACCCCTTTTTGTTCTCAGTCGTTAAATATGGGGTTCAATGTTATACGATGCTACATGAACACGTTATCACGAAACAGATTATGCACCCCAAGATATCCTTTTTGCTCATGTACTGGGAAATCACATAATTAACTGTAGCCCGTACATCTCACCTATATAACTGCATGGTTGTCTGAAGTTACTATATATATTTTTTTCACTATATGTATGTTCTGATGATGTAGGGCAAGCAGTAATGAAGCCAGATATTATGGTGCCAGAAGCTCCTCGGGAGGTTTTGCCACTTATTACTTCCTCCAATATGAAGCTTGACAAAAAGAAAGAATTGGTGACTCCGCAGTTGTGGAATACAGTCAGTGATCTGTCACTTGCTGCGGATGATTTGATCATTCCATGGAATGAGTTGGTTTTAAAGGAGAAGATTGGTGCAGGTACTCGAAAGTTCAGCCTTTTCTAGTCCGGCAGAAAATAATAGCATTTTTTTTCTTAATAGGACTATTCTTTCCATTGTGTTAGCAATCTTAGTATTTAATCAGATTTGAATCATGCTGAGCAATTTGCCTGTTAGATCTAATCCTATCAAAGGAACAATTTTCTGAATCCATTTTCTTTCCAGGTTCTTTCGGAACAGTTCATCGTGCTGATTGGCATGGATCTGTAAGCTTTTGCGTTCTCTATTTATCAATAACCTGTAACTGGCAACTGTAAAAAGGATTGCTGCTTTTGCTTCTTTGTTTGATCGACTTCGCTCTATTATTCTGTCATGGGCACACTTTGCTGTGAAGATGTAGGTATGTTAAACTAGAGGGGTCGAGGAATGGAAAGTAGATTCCTTTCTTTCTTGCTTGCTCCAGTCTATTACATAGTCGACCCTTATGGATGAACCCTTCTATATATGGGTTTAACTTAGTTGGACTTATAATTAAAAAATCAGATTGACTTAATTGGACTCGTTCCCTTCCCTAAAATCAAGCTGGACTTCTTTTCCTAATCCAGCCAACTACTACTACTCATTGTGTGCAAACTCATCTATCACTAAACAGAGTCCACAAAAAATTTGTAGCAAACTCCATAACACTACATTCTTTTATCTAAGCCTTTCTTTTGTCCTCAGTTCATCTATGATTCTGTTTGTCCTCTGAGCCGGTCCTCTGTTCCGGGTGATCTTGGGCTCAATATTAAAATCAATTCTATATTGTCACAGGATGTTGCAGTCAAAATACTTATGGAGCAGGATTTTCACCCAGAGCGTTTCAGGGAATTTATGAGAGAGGTCTGTTGAATAATTTTTACATGGGTTGCATGGGAATCTTTTGAATAATTTATGGCAGGGCACAATATTTGCCTTATGACAGTACTCTTCTGTATCTACATCATGCTTATGCCTTTATGGAGAATTATTGTTCAAAGTAGTTTCCTTATAAATATTTTTCTTAATGTGGTAGGTTGCAATCATGAAAAGTCTGAGACATCCAAATATTGTCCTATTCATGGGTGCTGTTACTGAACCACCAAACCTATCTATAGTTACAGAATACTTATCTAGGTATGGAAGTTCCTTCCAGTTATACCTTTGTTTGTCTTCATTATATGATACCATAATAGTTTACCAGCTTGGCTACTTCTAACAAGTGATGCTCTTCTTTCATTTCAGGGGCAGTTTGTATAAACTTTTGCACAGGAGTGGTGCAAAGGAAGTTCTAGATGAAAGACGCCGATTAAACATGGCATTTGACGTGGTATTGTGACCACCTGTTTCCTCCACAGCTTTACCTCATGCTATGGAATTAAAGCAATACAATGTTACTATCTGAGCCCTCTGTGCTGGCTTTACAGGCCAAAGGAATGAATTACCTGCATCGACGCAGCCCTCCTATTGTTCATCGTGATCTGAAGTCTCCAAATCTTCTAGTTGACAAGAAGTATACTGTCAAAGTATGGTTAATGAACCTCATATCTTATTGCATTTAAGCAAACAAAATTGCATTTCCATGCTATCTGCCATGTTTTTTTTTTCTCAAACTACGCAGGAGAGCTGCGTGTCATTTCATTAAGGTAGAAAAAAAAATACATGAGTCTGGTTAGACCCTACTTGAGTACAAGAACACCACAAACACACACCCACTTAACTAAAACAGACGTGCCACAAAAATATATCGAAGTCGACCAGAAAAACAGCCTGCCCTATACCCTCAAGGTCGCCTCCCTGACCAAGAGTTCCTGGAGTTTTCTTGCTCTAGCACTGCACCAAAGATTGCCCTCAGCGCTGACAGCCCTAAGAACCTCCTGGATGCTTGGCGTGGCATTTTCAAACACACATGAGTTACGGTGCTTCCGTACCTCCTAGGCTACCAAAATTATCAGGGAACTGAGACCCTTCTGTTCGTCCTTGGGCACTGGCGATTTTGCCCTCCACCACCATTTAGAGAAACGAGATGTTGTAGGTTCTGGCGACAGAGAACTGAGACCCAAATATTGGAAGATTCGAGCCCATATTTGACGAGTGAATACACAGCCGACTAGGATATGGTGAAGTCTCCTCAGCTTGATCACACAGAGGGCAAGCCTCGGGATGGGGCAATCCCCTCTTCGCAAGGTGATCAGCCGTCCAACACCGATTGTGGAAAACCAACCGGATAAAAATTTGCAAAGGGAAGGTGCCCAAATTTTCTGAATTCTTCTCCAAGGGCCAAACCTAACGGTTCCCACAAAGGTGTTATGGTGGGGAACGTTTATCAGCGGCGCAAGGCGAGACGTCGCCTTCACCCATATCCTCCTCATCCATCGTGAACATCCTGAACCCACCGCCATCGGCCACGATGCACATGCTGCCACCCCTGCCCCACGATCCACCAGAAGCCACGGCCGCCGGTGTTCCACGCTACCACAAGCTGTCCTTCTCGACATATGACGGCAAGGAGGATCCCTTGGGCTGGCTCAATCGCTGCGAGCGTTTCTTCCGAGCCCAGCTCACTCGTGAGGCCGACAAAGTGTGGCTCACATCGTTCCATCTCACCGGCACCGCTCAACAGTGGTACTACGTGCTCGAACCCGACGCCGGCGTGCCGTCGTGGGATGAGTTCAAGCAGCTGTGCCACCAGCGCTTTGGGCTACTGCTCAGCACCAACCACCTGGCGGATTTGGCGTGTCTGCCGTTCACCTCGTCCGTGGAGGCCTACCTAGATGCGTTCCAGGCCTAGATAGCGCACGTCGGCCAGCTCTCGCCGTATCAGCAGGCACAACTGTTCACCGGCGGCTTGTCGGACCACATCCGGATCAACGTCGAGCTCCATGATCCACAAGATTTGCAGTGGGCCATGCGGCTGGCGCGCGCGTATGAGCGCCGTAATACGGTGCCCCTCCTCGCCCTGCCCGTCCCGCCTACCAGGCCGGCTCGCCGCACCCCCAGTGCCCTACCCTACCCGCGGCGCCATCGGCTACCGGGACCCAAGGGACGTTGCAGTCTTCCTCCTCGGCGCCCCCTCTGCGACCCTTCAAGCGCCTGACGCTGGAGGATATGGCCGACTGCCGGAAGCAGGGCCTCTGCTACAATTACGACGAGCCATACGTTCGTGGGCACAAGTGTTCCAGGCTCTTCAACCTCGAGGTCTCGGACTACATCGTTGAGGAACCGGAGGAGCCTGCAGAAGATGCTGCCGTTGAGTCAGCGCTGTTCGACCCCGAAACCCCGATGATCTCGCTCCATGCCATTGCGGGGATTCGCACGGAGGACATCATGCAGCTCTACGTGACCATCGACAACGAGCAGTTTGTGGCGCTCCTAGATTTGGGGTCCACCCACAACTTCGTTCGGGGGGACGTCGCTCGCCGCGTTGGCCTGCAGTTCGCGCCGTGCCCTGGTGCGGGCGTCATCGTGGCCAATGGTGATCACGTTGCGTGCCGTAGCATCGCCCGTGACGTCGGCATCCGCATCGCCGATGAGATCTCCATCGACTGCTACTCTATCCCGATCGACACCTATGACATGGTCCTTGGAGTCACATTCCTTCGCACACTGGGGCCGATCCTATGGGACTTCGATGATCCATGTATGGCCTTCTGGCGTGAGGGTCGCCGAGTCTTCTGGCGCGGCATCGGCTCCACTCGCCATGACGTGCAGTCCACACGCCGTCTCAACGTCATTCGCAACATTGAGCCGGCCATGCTCGAGCAGCTCCTTCACTCCTTCGACGACGTCTTTGCATCGCCGCAGGGGTTACAGCCCGCGCGACCGTTCGATCACCGGATTCATCTGCTCCCCAACGCAACTCCGGTGGCGGTGTGGCCCTATCGTTATCCCTAGCTACAGAAGGATGAATTGGAGACCCAATGCGCCGCGATGCTTGACCAAGGCATTATTCGCCCAAGCACGTCGGCGTTCTCCGCACCGGTGCTCCTCGTCAAGAAGCACGACGGCTCGTGGCGGTTCTACGTGGATTACCGCGCCCTAAACCAGCAGATGGTTAAGGACAAGTTCCCCATACCCGTTGTCGAAGAGCTGCTCGACGAGCTCCATGGCGCGCACTTCTTCACGAAGCTCGACTTGCGCTCGGACTATCACCAAGTGCGGATGCACGCCGACAACGTTGAAAAGACGGCGTTTCGCACCCATGAAGGTCACTTTGAGTTCCTGGTTATGCCCTTCGGGCTCACGAACGCGCCGGCCACCTTTTAAAGCTTGATAAACTCCTTTCTTCGGCCGTTCCTACGTAAGTTTGTCCTGGTGTTTTTTTATGATATTCTCATCTACAGCCCCTCTTGGTCATTGCATCTCCAACACATCAACGTGGTCCTCACCGCCCTACGCGAGCGCTAGCTGTGGCTCAAGCGCTCCAAGTGCTCCTTCACGCAGCCGTCTGTCGCGTACCTCGGCCATGTGATCTCTGCCGAGGGGGTTGCCATGGACCGCGACAAGGTCGAGGCCGTCGCCACTTGGCCCTAGCCGCGCTCCGTGCGGGCGCTCCGCGGCTTCCTCGGGCTGGCGGGGTACTACCGCCGGTTCATTGAAGACTATGGGGCCATCGCCGCGCTCCTCACACAACTGCTCAAGAAGGAAGGGTTCCTCTGGACCCCCGAAGCGACCACGACGTTCGACACCCTCAAACGCGCGCTCTCCACCGCCCCCACCCTCCAGCTGCCGGAGTTCGCCAACTCCTTCACGGTGGATTGCGACGTGTCGGACTCGGGCTTCGGCGCGGTCCTGCATCAAGGCGATGGCGCCCTCGCCTTCTTCAGTCGTCTGTTCGCGGCTCGACATCTCAAGCTCGCCGCGTACGAACGCGAGCTGATTGGGCTTGTCCAGGCGGTTCGCCACTGGTGTCCCTACCTTTGGGCAGACACTTCACCGTCCGGACAAACCACTATGCGCTCAAGTTCATGTTGGATCAACGCTTGTCCACTGTTCCTCAACATCAGTGGGTGAGTAAACTCTTTGGGTACTACTTCACTGTTGAGTACCGACCGGGGCATCTCAACACAGTCACGGATGCTCTATTGTGGTGCGGCGACGACGATGCACACCTCGCTGCGCTCTCGGGCCCGTCCTTCCACTTCTTCGATGATCTTCGCCGGGAGCTCGCGGACGCCGCCGCCCTGTGTGCCTTTCGCGACACCGTGGTGGCCGAGCACGGCGCGCCATGGCGCGTGGTCGACGGCCTTGTTCTGCAGGGGAACCGTGTCTTCATCCCCGCCAACTTGGCGTCCCGGCCCGTCGTGCTCCAGTTAGCACACGCCGCTGGCCACGAAGGCATTCAGAAGACCCTACAACGCCTCCGCCACGACTTCGTCCTCGACCATGACCGTCGACTCGTGTGCGAGTTCGTGCGCTCGTGTACAACGTGCCAGCGCAACAAGACAGAGGCGATGCACTCGGCTGGCCTTCTCCAACCACTTGAGGTCCCGTCGCAGGTCTGGGCAGACGTTGCCATGGACTTCATTGAGGGCCTGCCGCATGTCAACGGCAAGAGTGTCATATTGACGGTGGTTGATCGGTTCTCCAAACATGCTCACTTCATCGCCTTGAGTCACCCCTACACGGCGACCATAGTGGCGAAGGCGTTCTTCGAAGCCATTGTCTGACTGCATTGGTTCCCAAACTCCATTGAGAGCGATAGGGATCCAGTGTTCACTGGCCATGTTTGGCGCGACATCTTCAAACTCGTCGGTGTCAAGCTCTAGATGAGCACGGCCTTCCATCCTCAAACGGATAGCCAATCCGAGGTTGTCCACAAGACGATCGCCATGTATTTGAGGTGCACCACTAGGGACCGGCCGCGCGCATGGCTGGATTGGTTCCCCTGGGCTGAATATTGCTACAATACCTCGTATCACTCGGCATTCTGGGCGACGCCGTTCGAGGTGGTCTATGGGCGTACGCCGCCCGCCCTGCTCCCTTACACTGCAGGGACGGCCCGCACTGAGACAGCCGTGACGCCTTCCTAGCCAATGTTCATGATCGTTTATTGCAGGCTCAGGAGTACGCCAAGAAGTACTACGACAGTCACCATAGGCCCCTGGAGTTCGCCGTCAACGACTGGGTGGCACGGATCCTGCACCGCCCCGCTCAGTCCCTGGTACCCAGTCCGCGCGGCAAGCTTAGCCCGCGCTTCGCAGGGCCCTTCCACTTGGTGGAACGCGTCGGAGCCGCCGCCTACCGCCTTCGGCTGCCCGATGGTGCTCGCATTCATGATGTCTTCGACGTTGGCGTTCTCAAGCCGTTCCGGGGGTCGCTCCATCTAGGACGACTACTGCATCGCCCAGCTCGCGCACTCCACGCTCAGCTTCGCCGCGGAGTCTGGCACGTCCTCATCCACTGGGCGAACATGGATGAAGCCGAAGCCGAGGCGACCTGGGAACCCGTTGAAGCTTTCCGCGCGCTCTTCCCCGACTTCCAGCTCGAGGACGAGCTGTTTCTCGAGGGGGGGAGAGATGTTATGGTGGGGAACGTTTATCAACGGCGCAAGGCGAGACGTGGCTGAGGAGTGGGTCGTGCCAAGCCACGCCAGTGCGCGGTCACCAGCCAGGGCGCGCCAACCTAGTCGCTGCCAGGAGTTTGTTAGCCGATCCATTTGATTAGGAAAGAGATTTATCTTTATTGATTATTCCTTAAAGTTAGCTATGAGTTTGTTAGGATTGTGGTATAAGTATGGAACATTGTTGCTTAATGAAGATTAGCTAGAGATTGAGTTAATCTCTCTCGCTCTTTGGCGTTACTACTCTCTGTCGCTCCGTCACGTTCTCGTGATAGTCCAGGCGCCGAGCACGGCGGCGCCAGTCCGCCGCCGGGCATTCAAGCCTAGGCCAACCATTTCCCACTCCTATTCCCTATGCAGCAACCCACGCTCCAACAGAAGGCAGCATAAGCTGATTTACTTGTGTATAAACCGGATTGGGCTAGCTTCAAAGTAAATTGATCTGGAACCTGTTGTTGCAGAACTATTCCGTCCACCATGTCCCAGAGCTGCAGGTACTCGATGAGGACTGGTACTGTGAGATCGCCCTGGGCAAAAATAACCGAGAACCGAACCGAAATAACCGGAACCGAAACTGAAAATTTCGGTTCCTAGTTCGGTTCCTAGTTCTCAGGAACCGAAATTTATCAGGTTAATTCGGTTCTGGCTGTCGGTTAACCGAAAGAGCTGAACTTTGTATAAAGGCCCAAAAGCCCAGTGTATTTCAGCCCATGTTTGTAACCCTAGGTATATAAGAAGTGAATTCCCCACTCGGGAGATGACATCCCACCCAGGCTCCCAAGCCGCATCGCTCCTGGCCTCCTGCTCCTTGGCCCGACCCGCGGCGCTCCTCCACCACTCCGCCTCCTTCCCTACCCCGGCGACCGACGCGGCGGCGCGTGCCCGCTGCTTCCTTCTCCCCCCGGCGACCGGCGCATGGCCCCTGCTTCCCCACCCCGCGCCAGCAAGCAGGGTGAGGTGAACGGCGAGCAGGGTGAGGCGAACTGCGGGGCGGCGAGCAGGGTGAGGCGAAGCGCGGTGGCGAGCAGCGCGAGGCACGACGACGCGTGGGGCATGTGCGATTCTGTGTGGTCTTTTTCTCTTTGGTAGCACCTCGGTTAGTTCGGTCGGAACCGAAACCGAACCGAATTAACCGAGACCGAATTTGGTCGGTTCCTGGATTTCAAAAGAACCGATCGGTTCTGATTTCTTGAGAAACCGAATTTGTCAAGAAACCGAGGAACCGAACCGATCGGTTTCGGTTAACCGAATGCCCAGGGCGACTGTGAGAACCCCCTTGATGTCATCCCATCTTCGGTTCTGGAGTGCCTGAGCAACAGTCCGTCTCTTGGCTGTACGTTTGGGGACAGCATTAAACAGGTTAGGGACCAACTCAGCTAGGGTGTGGCCATCCAACTATCTATCTGTCCAGAACCGAACTTTCTCACCATTCCCTACTATGTCATCCAATGCAATATTGTAGAGGGCCTGAGCCTTGCGGGGGACTTGTACTGAAAGACCAGCCCATGGTCTTGATGGATCAGTTTTCTCAGCCCACAGCCAACGGATCCTTAAAGAGCAGCCAAGGAGTTCCAAGTTATGGATCCCAAGGCCACCATATTCTAGAAGCTGCTGCACCCTTTCCCAAGCCACCAAACAATTACCGCCGTTAGCCTGCTCCTGGCCTTTCCAAAGGAAGCCTCTCCTTTTCTTATCAATAGCCTTCAGAAACCATTTTGGCAAGTCCATGGCGATCAAAAGGTAAATGGGAACAGCTGTTAAAACTACTCGAACCATTACCAATCTTCCCGCCCGATTCATTAATCTGCCATGTTTTGATGACATGTGGTTGGTAATCATAGTTATCTTGGTGAATATTCCTGTGCACTTCAAAAATTGCAATGACATTTGAATCTAATACCGTCTAATCCTAGCGAACATGATTTTTAGGAAGAGAATAGAGCTATAATCTTGCATGTTCTTGTTTTTCCATTGGGTAACCTGGGATTTGCTCCACTCTGGGTGGGGATGTTTATTTTCCTTTCCAGGTCAGTCCATGGTGATTGAGCCTAACCCCATTGCATCCAAACAATCCCTTGAATCTTGATAGAGAAAATTCACTGAAAGAACACAAATAATTATTGTAATGATTTTGTAGCACTGGAGATGTTTGCAGCTTGCAGTCATGATTCATTTCTAAGTTCAGCTTGCCATGGTATTCAGTGATCATGGTTTTTAGTAAACATATTCATGGGAAGTATTTGCCAGAGATGCTTAGTTCCCTAACCAAACGCAAAAATACTATGCTCTTGACATAGCATGTGGGTTCCCAGTTGTGGCATTCTTCCTTATAGAAGACATATTAAAAGATCTTGTTAATCTAATATTTCCTTGACTCGCCTTTTTCTTTTAGTTTCCATGTTATCATTTACTCGTAATTGTTTGTCTGATAACAATGTGATATTAAGGTATCCATTTGGCTAAACATTTTACGTTTTAACTTCTCTTAGGTATGTGACTTTGGCCTTTCAAGACTGAAAGCTAATACTTTCCTGTCTTCCAAGTCTTTGGCTGGAACTGTAAGAGCCTCTTCCACTTTTCTAAAGTTCCCCTTTCACTGAAATTTGCCTTGTATAATCCTATCTTTTAAATATCAGCCTGAATGGATGGCACCTGAAGTGCTTCGAGATGAACCATCCAATGAGAAATCTGATGTCTACAGTTTTGGTGTAATCCTATGGGAACTAATGACACTGCAACAACCATGGTGTAACCTGAATCCTGCCCAGGTAACTCATTATCCGGTAGCAGCATTTATGAAGCAACACAAGCACTCATGGAGATTATCAAATGCATTGAGAACACATTTTCTGCTCATCGACAAACAACATACACATGAAGTGATGCATACCATTACTGTATTTATCCTCAGTTTTCTGTATGGCTATATGCTATTATGCAGGTGGTTGCTGCTGTAGGTTTCAAAGGAAGAAGGCTTGAAATCCCAAAAGATCTGAATCCTCTAGTAGCCGCATTAATTGAATGTTGCTGGGCCACGTATGTATTGTTGTTCCACCTATATACCCCTTTCAGCTTTGTTTCTCTGAATTTAATCACAAGGACCTGGGCCTAACTATAGGAATGCTATGCCTTCTGTAGTGAACCATGGCGAAGACCCTCATTTGCAAATATTATGGACACTTTGAAACCATTAATTAATAAGGTTCCAGCACAGTTGATTCGTTCGGATTCGTAGCCTATTCTATACAGGTACAGGAAGATGTATTTTACTGAGTGGTCCTGATAACATCAACATGAGGAGTGTTCTAATACTGACCTGCTATAATTGAATAATCCTTGGATGGTATTACTTCATTCTAATAATACAATTCTCCTCATAAACTTTCAAATGAAGTGTACCTGGCAACTTCTTTCCATGCCTAAGGTATGCTACCGTTTTCAGAGAGCTCTGTTTCCCATCAACATTTTCATGTATTTATGGATTGTTGAATGTGAGGTTTACTTAAATATTTGCAACAATGTTTAACTCAGGTAAATACAAAATCAAACACATATTAACTTTTTCAACTATTACCGCCTGTGACCGGAAGGTCCCGGGTTCGAGTCGTGGTCTCCTCGCGTTGCACAGGCGAGGGTAAGGCTTGCCACTGACACCTTTCCCCAGACCCCACACAGAGCGGGAGCTCTCTGCACTGGGTACACCCTTATGAAAATCCCCTGGCCGTGCCTTGTAAATTCTAGTTTCTCCTACATTTCTTTGTACAGTATGTAACTATAGGTAACCATGAAAACCAAAGGTTTAGGCTGACAATGTTCAGGCCTCATTTCTGATACCGCTCCGGAGCGAGCAAATGCAGTGCTGTAGAAGGTGATATCTGTCGTATGTGCGCCTGTTTCTTCATCTCTTGTAGTGTAACATGTCTTGAAATTTACTTAGTGATGGCGCATTAACTTCTGTTGATCTATACCATTGTTGCTGCTGAAGACAAGTGTGCCAAACAAACATGAACCTTTTTCAGTCTCCTTGCATGCTTGTGGTGCGGGTTCACGTGGATTGCCAGATATATTGTTCCTGCAGCAGATATGTTTGACCTGACGGAATATTTTCTGTTTCATGGAGTGGTTGTGCATATTACTTCCATCGGTGCATGCAGGTACTCACGCTGCTCCAGGAGCTAAGTTGCTAACCCATTGCCCTTCTGTGTGGAGTTCGAATCTTTGGATTCAATTTTGATGATCTCCGAACAGCTTTACTGGTTACCATGACCAAGAAACTAATATAGCCATTTCTTCATGGGCTCCTACATCGATCGTGAACAATTATTGATTGCTGACGAACGGCAGGCGGAGGTCTGCACAAAATGACACGTTGATTCCAGCATTCCAGCAAACTTGTCAGCTTTAACATTTACGAAATGTGTCATTCCGGCAAACTTTGTTCTTAATGAGAATTACAATTTCCTGGATCTTCTCATCCTCTTTCTGGCCCCTTTGGATCTTTTGTTCAAGAGTAGGCTCAACCTCCGTAGATGTACCTTTAGTATTTGCAACAAACCCTAGGTTGACTTGTTCAAACTCAGCACACAAATCAGGTGGTAACTCTGTAGCTAATACCATATTCACATAACTCTTTCTGCCAAGAGCATCTACTACAACATTCGCCTTACTAGGATGGTAGTGAATCTCCAGCTCATAATCTTTGATTAACTCCAACCATCGTTTTTGTCCTAAGTTTAGATCATTCTAAGTGAAGATATATTGCAGACTCCTATGGTCAGTATAGATCTCACACTTGTGCCTAAGAATAGTGTCTCTAGGTCTTCAAGGCTTGCACCACGGTTGTTAACTAAAGACCATGAGTCAGATAGTTTTGTCCATGCTTCTTCAACTATCTCTAAGCATAAGAAATCACTTTTCCCTCCTGCATCATCACACATCCTAATCCTCGGCGAGAAGCATCAAAGTAAATAGCAAAGCTCTTTGTAATATCAGTTAAAAGTCAGAACAGATGTTGTAATCAACCTCTTCTTCGACTCCTCAAAATTGGCTTGGCACTGATCTGTCCACTTAAACTCCTTTGCTTTTTCTAACAGAGCTATCATTGGCTTGGCAATACTTGAGAAACCCTCGATGAACCTTCTATAGTAACCTGTCATCCCAAGAAAACTCTTGATCTCACTAACCGTTTGAGGCGGTTCTCACTCTAAAACATCTTTGACCTTACTCGTTTCAATAGCAACTCCTCCACTGGAAATCACATGCCCAAGAAAAGCGATCTCCTTCAACCATAATTCACACTTACTCAGCTTGGCATACAACTGATTCTCTCAGCTTCTGTAAGACCAATCTCAATTGTTGTTCTTCATTCTTAGAATATATCAGTATATCATCAATAAAGACTACCACAAACTTATCAAGATATTCTATAAAAACTTTGTTCATGAGGTACATGAAGTACACTAGAGCATTAGTCAGACCAAAGGACATGAAAGTGTACTCATAGAGTCTATATCTCGTAATCAAAGTCGTCTTAGGAATGTCACTAGGTCGGATCATTAGTTGATGATAAGTGTTGACTGGAATTAAGTCATGGTTTTACATAGTCAAAACCGCCAACAAAGTGTCACCCTTGGAAGGAACTGAGCATAACATGATCACATTTTATAATAACTTGGTTCCACATGTACATGGAGAATATTTGAATGCAAAGACAAAATGGAGGCAATATGGTGCTATGGGCCCACATAGGGTCAGCCAACCCCCTATGGGCCCACTACTCCCTCAACCCTTCCTCAAGCCTTCATGATCCATGTCACACACTTCCAAGCAATATCAACTATTGGATGTGTGTTTTCTCTAGAGGGCTCTCAAACGAACCACACAAATTGAAGGACCCACATCCCCACCATCCAAAGAATTAAAGAGGTCCCACTTGCATATACCCATTAAGGATCAAGCCAAGAGGTCCCACACATGAGGGGATGGCCCTGAGGGGGTCGGCCGACCCCTGGTCAACCGACCACCCCAAGGCCTCCACTGTAACACCCTCGGTGTTACACTCTAAATCATTTATTAAAACATGTCATGAGCATCATGTTTATGTGTTAATGCATGTGATAAAGTATGTAGATCAATTTTTGTAACTCAAAACGATCAATAAAAATGCTAAACGAAAATTGCCCCACGATTTGTACAATTAACAAGTAAGGGTGTAAACTAATTTTTATTGAACAAAAATACTATAAAACATGTGTGTGATACTTAAATAAAGTTTGAAGTGCAAACTTTATAAATGACAATGAAATACTTGTAGAAAATTAATGTTACTAGCTAGTATTTCTAATAGTCTAGAAATGGAACTTGAAAACAAAACCAGCTCAAAAACTTATAAAATTTCTAAGTTTGTGAACAACTAGACATTGCTATGTTTAGCAAATTATTTTGAGAGATTGGGTTAAGAGGTGGTGTATTGTTATAGCTCGATTTGGTAGTCTCATATGCCATCTTAAGCATGGTGAAGATGGTTTGGCTTTTGGAGCAACCGTTTAGTCGTGTTGGGCGCTTTAAAATTCGTGCGCGTCACATGTCTCGGGTTGGTTTGTGCCATGTGCGCGGTCACCATGCGGCCTCCCCACGCCGCACACATGGTCGCGTCTTGCGCGGTCACCCTACGCCGCCACGCTGGGTCGGTCGGACCTCCTGGGCTTGGCCGAGGCCGGCCGCAGCGAGCCGCTGGCCCCGCGCCCTGCTGCCCAGACTCGCGTCACCGCCATATGTGTCGTCGTGGCCGCGCTGTCGCTGCCGTCGCGTCCGCCCAATGCTGCCTCGCGTTGTGACGTTGCCGCTGCCGTCGTGTCACTCCCGTACTCGCGTCTGCTCGCTGCATCGCGCTGCCCCCTCCCTAGCCCGGTTGGGTGCCGTCCGCACATGGCCGTGCACGCCGTCGTCACACTATTAATGGCGCTGTGGCGCGTGGGCCATGGCCAGTCGCGAACCTCGTGTTTGTCCCCTCGTGCTTGGACGTAGGTCCCTCGGCCACAACCGCTCGCGTCTCACAAAGGCGAGGACGAACCGAGCCCACTTGTCGCTCCCCGTTTCTCTCTTTCTCCCTCTGCTTTCCGTCACCGTCGAGTCACGGTCACGGTGAGCTAGAGAGCGAGCACCTCTCATCAATTCCTCGTGCCTGCGTCTCCGCCTTCACGTCCTCTTGCTGACCGCCCCCACCCCACCTTGATTACGGCCAGGCCGAGCTCTAATTTTGGAGCTTTGCTCCCGCCGCCGCGCCATTAAGACCCAACCCGCCTCACCATGGCCAGCTCCAACCTCGCCATCTCGTGTCGAATTGACCGCACCACTAGCCGCGCATAGAACCCCTCTTCGTCGTGCGCACGCTAGTCGCAGCTCTAGTGCCACCTCCTCGCCGCTGACGCGGCCGTGCCTTTGCGGTCCGCCGTTCACCTCGCAGCGCGCACGTGGCCAGCCTCGCTCAAGTCGTCTCCGGTCGAGCCGGCACCTCGGTTGGGTCACTGGTGAGTCATCGTTGCTCATCCGCTACCCCTACTGCCTTGTTGTTGCTGCGGCTCACCAGAACGTTGTCGCCTTTGTCGCAGGGTGCCCGCCGTCGTGGAGAGGTCCTTCTACGGCGTCCCGACTCGTGCAACCGCCGCCTATCGCCTCGCGTTGACCCCCTTGGTGAGATTCGGCCTCTTAGCTAGGTTAGCATGGGTCTCGGATGGTCGGCGCTATCGCCAGTGCCACCGCTCGCCACGCCGGAGCGCACGGGGGAGGCCAGGGACCATGCCGTTGTAAACAGGAGAGAGTACAAGGTCTTTTTGCATAGGTGTTGTCTCTAGAAATAGTAACATGGACTGCGGGTTATTTTATTCATAGTCCAGGGGCGTTTTCGCTAATATGTCAGCGCGCGCGGGATTTCCTCGTCATGGGTCATCGTCGTGTGGGCCGCACCGTGGGCCGTTGCGCGCTCGCGCGTGCGCTACGTCGCGTGGGCTGCGTGTGTGGGCCACGCGGGAGAATTCGATTTTCTTTTTCATAAGGAATTAAAAAGTTTTCTAATATAATTTTTGAGCTGATCTTTGGTAAATCATATAAAAT